CCTGCTGAGTGGAAATTCCCTACCAGCACTTTCATTCAAACTTTCTGTTTTTCATAGTTTATACTATATTTACTTGAATCCAAGACCAGGGTTTTTCCCCCTCATTTAACATAGGAAAAAGTGTGCTTGTCTTAGATTTGAGTACAAAGCAAGGGACAAGCATCTGCTGCAATTCCCCGGAGTTAGTGTCACAGCTGCTGCCTGCTCCCCACAGCCTCTGCCCTCCTCACCTGCCTCCTGCCTCCCTCCCCACACGCACACAGCAGTTTACCCTCTGCCAGGGCCGAAGCTGGCAGCACCACTGCCGCCACTTGCTTGGCTGTAGAGCCCCTGCAACTCAAGCATGTTCTGGTCTTTGTGACCCTGAAAGATGGGGGGAAATCTTTGAAAGCCACCCTGCAATACATGCTGGGTGAGCAGCCATAGGTGGTACACCTCTTCACAGAAACACCTTGTGTGTTCACTGTAGCAGCATCATTCCCAGTGAAGAAGCAGGTTGCAGCAAAGATAGCCTCACCCATGCCAGGGGAAAACAACCCAACCCCAGGATACAGTGCCTTCAGGGGATGATGTCAATGGCCCTAGTGGGGCAGTGCATCTCCCAACGTTCAGTTGTTGTTCTGTGGAATCAGGCCAACTCTCAGGATCTCAATATTGTGCTGTTAGACAGGAGGGTGTAACACAATTGCACATATACAAACACACAAATCAATTAGGTGCATACACACGCACACTACCAGCTCAGGCACATACACATTCAAACCAGCCTAGGCACATGCATACCTATCACCAATTCAAGCACATACACTATACACCCCAAAAGCTAGACACAGATCATTAATTCGTATATCATGCACACAATGCCATATATATATACACACACACTCTCACTAGCAACTCAGATACACACACGTTCAAAATAACTAGTCAAGGTTCATGCACACCCATCACCAGTTTAAGCCCATACACGCTACACACACCAAATTTAGACAGAATCAGTTACCAGTTACCAACACCTGCACATCCAATAAACATATGTGGATTACTAATTCATATACCACACACACACACACAATGATATCTATATATATATATATCTATCTATATATGTTTATTCACTAATTTACATACATACCACCACCTACACATACACACAGGTGAGTTCTTAAGTTGGGTGTTGTGATGTGTAAGTATGTATGTGCTTGGTGTACTTGGGATACCTGGGAAAGGTTAAGGTAAGAAAGTAGAAGTGTAGGGAGTTAAGGTTACCAGGACCGGGATTAGAACCGGTAGACTAGAGGGGCCTGG